GGCAGAAGAATGAATTAGTGATCTAGAAGACCAATTATAGACAAGAAGGAAAAAAAGGAGGCCAGGGAGAAACAACTCAAAATCCATGAAAATAGAATCAGAGAAATAAGTGACACCATGAAACGTTCCAATGTCAGAATTATCGGGATCCCTGAGGGGGTGGAGAGAGAGAGAGAGAACTAGAAGATATATTTGAGCAAATCATAGCTGAGAACCTCCTTAATCTGGGGACTGAAAAAAACATTCGTGTCCTAGAGGCAGAAGGACCCCTCTGAAGATCAAGGAAAACAGGTCAATGCCCCGGCATGTAATAGTAAAACTTGCAAATCTTAGAACCAAGGAAATCATCTTAAGGGCAGTTAGGGGGAGGAGATTCCTTACATATAGAGGGAGGAACATCAGAATAACGTCAGACCTACCCACAAAGACCTGGCAAGCCAGAAAGGGATGGCAAGACATATTCAGGGTACTAAATGAGAAGAACATGCAGCCAAGAATACTTTATCTGGCAAGGCTGTCATTGAGAATGGATAGAGAGATGCAGAGCTTCCAAGACAGGCAGAAACTGAAAGAATATGTGACCACTAAGCTGGCCCTACAAGAAATATTAAGAGGGGGTTCTATAAAAGGAGAAAGACCCCAGGAGTGATATCGAACAGAAATTTATAGAGACAATCTATAGAAACAAGGATGTCACAGGCAACATGATGACAATAAATTCATATCTTTCAATAATCACTCTCAATGTGAACAGCCTAAATGCTCCCATAAAATGGCACAGGGCTGCAGATTGGATAAAAAGACAGGACCCATCCATATGCTGTCTACAAGAGACTCATTTTGAACCTAAAGATACATCCAGACTGAAAGTGAAGGGATGGAGATCCATCTTCCATGCCAACAAACCTCAAAAGAAAGCTGGGGTAGCAATTCTTATATCAGACAAATTAGATTTTAAGCTAAAGACTGTAGTTAGAGACACAGAAGGACACTATATCATTCTTAAAGGGTCTATCCAACAAGAAGATCTAATAATTGTAAATATCTATGTCCCCAACATGGGAGCAGCCATCTACATAAGCCAACTGTTAACCAAAATAAAGAGTCATATTGATAACAATACTTTAATTGTAGGAGACCTCAATACTCCACTCTCAACAATAGACAGATCATCTAAGCAGAAAATCAACAAAGAAACAAGAGCTTTGAATGACACACTGGACCAGATGGACCTCATAGATATATACAGAACATTCTGCCCTAAAACAACAGAATACTCATTCTTCTTGAGTGCGCATGGAACTTTCTCCAGAATAGACCACATACTAGGTCACAAATCAGTTCACAACCCATACCAAAAGATTGAGATTATTCCCTGCATATTCTCAGACCATTATGCTTTAAAACTGGAACTCAATCACAAGAAAAAAATTGGAAGAAATTCAAACATTTGGAAGCTAAATACCACTCTGCTCAAGAATGTTTGGGTCAACCAGGAAATCAAAGAACTTAAACAATTCATGGAAACCAATGAAAATGAAAACACATTGGTTCAAAACCTATGGGATACTGCAAAGGTGTCCTAAGGGGGGAATACATAGCCATCCAAGCCTCACTGAAAAAAAACCAGAAAAATCCTGAATTCACCAACTAACTTTACACCTTAAAGAACTACAGAAAAAGCAACAAACGATGCCTACGCCACACATTAGAAGAGAAATAATTAAGATTAGAGCAGAGATCAATGAATTAGAAACCAGAAACACAGTAGATCAGATCAACAAAACTAGAAGCTGGTTCTTTGAAAAAATTAGTAAGATCGATAGACCACTGGCCAGACTTATCCAAAAGATAAGAGAAAGGACCCAAATTAATAAAATTACAAATGAAAGGGGAGAGATCACGACTAACACAAAGGAAATAGAAACAATTATTAGAAATTATTATCAACAACTATATGCCAATAAATTGAGCAACCTGGAAGAAATGGATGCCTTCCTGGAAACCTATAAACTCCCAAGACCGAAACAGGAAGAAATTGACAACCTGAATAGGCCAATAGAGGCAACCCACAGAAGGGGAGAAGATACTTGCAAATGACACTACAGACAAAGCACTGATTTCCAAGATCATAAAGAACTTCTCAAACTCAACACGCAAAAACAAATAATCAAGTCAAAAAATGGGCAGAAGTCATGAACAGACACTTCTCCAAAGAAGACTTACAAATGGTTAACAGACACATGAAAAAATATTCATCATCATTAGCCATCAGGAAAACTCAAATCGAAACATTGAGATACCACCTTCCACCAGTTAGAATGGCAAAAACTGACAAGGCAAGAAACAACAAATGTTGGAGAGGTTGTGGAGAAAGGGGAACACTCTTACACTGTTGGTGGGAATGCAAGTTGGTACAGCCACTTTGGAAAACAGTGTGGAGTGCCTCAAAAAATTAAAAATAGAGCTCCCTTATGACCCAGCAATTGCACTACTGGGTATTTACCCCAAAGACACAGATGTAGTGAAAAGAAGGGCCATATGCACCCAATGTTCATAGCAGCAATGTCTGCAATAGCCAAACTGTGGAAAGAGCTGAGATGCCCTTCAACAGATGAATGGATAAAGAAGATGTGGTCCATATATACAATGGAATATTACTCAGCCATTAGAAAGGATGAATACCCAACTTTTACATGAACATGGATGGGACTGAAGGAGATTATGCCAAGTGAAATAAGTCAAGCAGAGAAAGTCAATTATCATATGGTTTCACTTATTTATGGAACATAAGGAATAGCATAGAGTATATCAGGAGAAGGAAGGGAAAAATTAAGGGGGGAAATCAGAGGGAGAGACGAACCATGAGAGACTATGGACTCTGAGAAACAAACTGAGGGTTTTAGAGGGGAGGGGGGTAGGAGGATGGGTTAGCCCAATGACGGGTATTAAAGAGGGCACATACTGAATGGAGCACTGGGTGTTATACGAATACAATGAATCGTGGATCACTACATCAAAAACTAATGATGTATGGTGACTAACATAATAAAACAAACAAACAAACAAAAAAAACCAAATATGAGTAATGATTCCTGAGTCTGATTTCTGGATCACCAACAAGATCAAGTCTTTGCACCTGAAAGATTAAGTTGCATCTGAGTTTCTGTGAATTGTCAACACAAAAGCCTCCTTTTATGTCTTCCTGACAGCTAGCCAGTCTCCACACATTTCTGGGAACTTAAACTGTCATAAGCACCAGCAGCCTGGATTGAAAAAGAACGTACATAAATCTTTCTACCAACTTGGCAAAAAAAGTTGTTGCAAGGCCTCAAGATAGTCCCAATATGATTACTCTGATCATGACTCAGTTTCCCATTTTAAAATAGAAAATACAACAAATTTCAGTAGGAGTCAATTGTCTTAAGCACAGTATCTGGATTAGACTTCTCTTTTTACAATAAGAGAGATCACCATAATTAGCTAGCATGTGATTGGATCTGTGGTATGACTAAACTTGTGAAAAATTAAATACTTGTGTGTGTGTGTGTGTGAGAGAAAGAGAGAGATAAACAGAGAGAGAGACAGAGAGTTTTGCTATATTCCTTATCTATCAAAGATATTGGTAAGATTAATGAGAAGCCATCCATAAACTATTTCAAGTTGCATGGGGAGAGATAAGGTGAAAAATATCAATAAAAAAATGCCTTTTGCTTTTCATTAGTCATTTTGTTTTGTTTTGTTCTGTTTTTGTTGTTGTTGTTGCTGTTCCTGATCAGATTGCACACAGCTTAAAAAGCCAAGTACAGGAAAGAGAACTTCACATTACTGAAAACTCCTGTATCAAGCCCCATTTATATAGTTTCTCAACTTTATTCTAACAGCAAGTTAAAATAACCTGGTAGTTGGCATTACCGCATTCTTTTTACAGATGAGGAAGCTGGGACAGAAATGGGTTAATTTATTTTCCTGGGATCACATAACTTAATAGTGATGATGATATTAAAATCCAATTTGCTGAACTGGAAAGTCCACATTCTCTTTATTAAGCCAGTGTCCGAACTGACGTAAGAGAATCCAAAATTCAGTATATAATATAGAGAATTGTTCTCTTATACAGGCTCCCATGACAAGATCAAGAATTAGGTTGAAATAAATGTTATTTCTAAATTCTGTTTGTTTCTATTTTGACTCCTGAGTGGAAAACATTATCTATCTTATTGTATAATTTCCAGTCTAGATAATTTAGGGTTACATTAAATGCTGTACTGAATAAAAAATCATTTCATATATAAAGTTTATTTTCTCTACAACTCAATTGTAATTGGTGACAATAATTTATATTTACTTCATGTATTTTTCTTTAGTGCCTAGTCAATTATTATGCTGCCATTGGATTAATAATATTTTTATAACAATTTCTCCAATCTAGCATTTGGCAGTGTAGTGGTTTGAATAGCAGTCCCCAAAGAGATATGTCAAGCCCTAACCCTGGTACCTATGAATATGACTTTTTTTGGAAATAGTGTCTTTGCAGATGTAATTAAGTTAAACATCTTGAAATGAGATCATCCTAGATTTACAGTCAGCCCTATCTGACCGGCATCCTTATTAAAGAAAGAAGAAGATAGGTTACAGAAAGAAGATGACATGAAGGTGGAAACAAGTAGTACAGTGAGGATCTGTAAGCCAAGGAATTCTGAGGATTGTTAGCCTTTGCCAGCAGCAAGGAGAAAGACATGGAATAGATTCTCAGAGCCTCCAGAAGAAACCAAACCTGGTGATGTCTTGATTTCAGGCTTCTGGGCTCCTAAACTGTGAGAAAATAAGTTTCTGTTGCTGTAAGCCACTGAGTTTGCGGTTATATGTCATAACAGCTCTAGGGAATGAATACAGGCAGGTTAGCATTTCCTTTTAAGACAGAAAAAAACAATTACCTGAGCTATCTGCCCCAGTTTATTTCAAAGATGGGTCTAAAATGACCTCTCTCTATTCAAATTGGTTATTTCAAATTAGTAGAAGTTTCATAAATGACTCTCCTGTTGAAAAAAGTAAATTTCAGACAAACATAATAAATCTTATGACATAATTATAGGATCTCATGGATCTGAAACCAGAAACTTTCAACAAGGTCAGTGAAAATGCAAGATAATTATGAATAGATTTATAATAAAATCAGGATCTCTAAGTAAATTTCAGAGAAAATTCCCAACATTTGTAATGGTAATATTAGGATATTTACAGTGTTTGAAGTTCTTTGCATTTATTATCTCATTCAGTCCTTACAAGGACCTTGTAAGATAGCACTCATTATCTCTGACATTTTGACAAATAAACTGAAGAAGACAGGTTAAGAAAAATTAGTGCAAAATCATACAACTGAGACATGATGAATCAAAAATTCAAACCTAGGTAGTCTGTTCTTAATCTCAGTTATTTTATTCATTTTATGATATGTGGAATACCTCATTTTTCAAGAAGTGTAAAGTGCAAACACCAGTTACTCAGAAAAATTTCTAAAAAGAATTCAAAGATGGAACTTACTCAATGAAGTAATGCCCAAAACATAAAATGCCACATGCATTTTACAGGTATTTGAACTGAAGTAGGGACACAATAGATCTTATAAATAGACTCAAACTAGGTTTATGACTTAAAACATTATTTTTGAAATGTTTTATTTGGCTTTTTGAATTCCATTCCTACTGTGCAAAAGACTGGGAATCTATGTCTAAAAATAGAATCATGAAGTCTTTACACCAAACCCCTTCATTGGCGGTGACTGGCATTTAACCTGCCTCTAATTCTATCCTTTATGTATGATCACTAAAGATGATGGAGGAAGCAGTTATCAGACCAAACTCTAATCTGAAACTGGCTAAGAATGCAGAAATTATCATTGATCACTGAGGTTAATCAGAATGTTACCTATTATATAATAGGTAGTGTTTTACAAAATGGTATGGGGAAGAGAGGGAAGGATAATGGCAATCAGACTTATAAGACTCTAAATTACTGTGCAATGCTGTTAAATTTAAGAACATATGAATTGTCTGGCCTAATCTGCCACCTTCTTGACTCCTTTGTATCTTTATAAATGATAAACCCATAAAAAGTTTGAACTCATGAAATAGTAGTGAAGTGTTGGGTAACTTGAATGCCTTTACAAAGTGTTACATGTAGAATTTAGCAACTTTTTTTTTTTAATTTGAGTATAGTTGGCACATTATGTTCCATTAGTTTCATGTGTACAACACAGTGATTCAACAACTCTACACCTATGTTATGCTCACTCCAAGTGCAGCTGCCATCTGTCACCATGCAATGCTATTGCGGTACTGTTGACTCTAGTCCCTAGGCTGCACCTTTCATCCCCATGACTTACTCATTCCATAACTGGAAGCCTGTTATCTCCCACACCCCTTCACCCATTTCACCCATCCCCTCCAGCAACCATCAGTTTGTTCTTTGTATTTACGGGTCTGTTTCTGCTTTTGTTTGTTTATTCATTTGCTTTGTTTTTTAAATTCCACAGATAAGAGAAATCATATGATATTTGTCTTTCTCTGTCTGACTTATTTCACTTAGCATAATACCTTCTGAGTCCATCCATGTTGTTATAACTGATCTTTTAATCTCCTTTCTCTGTAATTTCCCATATTTCCATAAAGCTAAATTTTCTAAAATACAGATCTAATAATGACACTGACTTCTTTTAAATCATTCAGGTTTTCCTATTTACTTATGAGATCACTTTGAAACTCTTTAGAGGAGTAGGTAAGTGTGTTGTGTATGAAATCAAACACAGTGAGTTGGAGTCACAACTCTGCACTTACCAACTGAGTAGCCTTGTGCAAATTATTCGATTTCTCTAAACCTCAATATCTTCATCTGAAACATGGGGGATCCTAATAGTACCTACTGCAGAGGGTTGTAGTTATAATCAATCGAGAAAACATGCTAACTGCTTATCCTAAATACTTGCATAATCAATTCTCAGTTAGTAGTAGTAGTTTTTAATTGTTATTACTATTACACATTATTCACAAACTGGCCTCATCACACCTTTCCAACTAAACTTACTACTCATATTCATCTGCCTTTTTCAAAATAAACCATCTAGTTTTGTACTTCTTTGGTTTGTGTGTTAGCTTTGTCTAAAATTTCTTTCCTCATAACTTTCAGACCATTCTTGATATGGTAAGCCTCTGATGCATTGTTCAAGATCCAATCCAACCATTATTTCCTCTGGGAAAACTTGACCAGGTAGAATTCCTTGCTCCCTGAATTGTGATAGCAGAGCACTTGGAACTATTTCTCTCTGAGCACTTCTCATGCGCTATCACAGACATTTGAGGGAGTCTATCCTTCCTGCTAGACTAAAACTAGGGCTTGGTCATATTCATCCTTTCCAATACCTGGAACATTTGCTAGCACATTGCGTAGTAAGTAAACATGTAGTCAATGAAAGTAAATCAACCAGTCTGTGCTATTCCAAAGTCCATTTTGATACTAGGTTTGGCTCCAATAATGGAGAAGTAGTTTGTATCAGACTAATCCTCCCACTAAGAACAACTATAAGCCCTGAACCAAACATTTGAAAAACACCAACTATTGAAGGCACTAGGAAATGCCCAAAGGCAAGCTCAAAGTGGAAGCCATACAATCTAGAAAGAAGAGAATTACATAGAATGAAGATCTATGTTTACATGTTCTTCCCTGCTGGGGCATTTCCCTATTGTGTGGCTGGGGCGGTCTGAACTCAAACACAGAGCCAAAGTCTTACTGGTTTGAAATCACAGAGGATAGTCTTTAGGACTGCTGGTACAGTTGGAAATTGAAGGGAAAAGTGCCAGAAATGAGGTAGGCTCAGAGGGGAAATTCCTGAAATTTTAAATGTTCACTTAACCTTTAAATTGTACAGGCATAGGATAGATCCCAAGGGCCCAGCAACAGGGAACATTTGTAAAGCTGAAAAAATTTAGCAGCTATTTTAGCTGATATGCACAGCAAAGGAGACAGAGTTTAAAGTTTTAATCTTGTTATGTTAGAAGAGCTTCATAAGCAGTTGGGGCATTCCATTAAAGCTTCAGGACAGTTAAGCCTTAAGGGAAAAGTTATCAGCCCAGGATGAAGAATATCCTTAAGACTAACAGCAAAATCAAAACAAGCCATCTTTCTATATGAAACCATCCATATGAAACTAATCTTTACTCATATAAAACCAATCTTTCATATGTGCAGAATGATCTACTTTTAATTTAATTGTCTGCTAGAGTAAAATCAACGCTCTTCAAAGGAAGATAATAGAACTTACAGTCTACAACATATTATCCACAATGCCCAATATGTGATTAAATATTACTAAACATACTAGGAAATAGGAAAATGTGACCCAGAGTCAAGAGAAAAATAAGTAAATCAAAATAGACCAACAAATGAAAGCAAGCTGCTACAGATTTCACCTATGACTAAACACCTATTTTATTTATTTTAAGGAATATTACTAGAAATAAAGAGGGGCACTTTATAAGAATAAAAGCGTCAATCCCATCATGATGATATAATAATCTGAAATTGATTTGCACCTAATCAAAGAGCTTTGAAATACCTATACAAAAATCTGGTAGAACTAAAGGGAGAAATAAACACATCTACAATCTAATTTGAGATTTTATTTTAACACTGTTTCTTATTAACTGATAAAATTACTGTTCAAAAATATCAGTAAAAATACAGAAGATTTAAATAATATCATCAACTATATTAGTCTAGTTGACACTTAGAGAATATTACACCCAACATCTGTGGAATATATATTCTTTTCATGTGTAGATGAAACATTTATCAAGGTAGACCATATGCTAAACTATACTTCCTAATACAGTTCAAAAGAATAAGCTTTCTAGAGCATGTTATGTGATGGTAAGGAAATTCAATCTGAAGTCAATAACCATAAGTTATCTGGAAAAGCTCCAAATATTTAGAAATTAACAACATAATTCTGAATAACCATAGGTTAAAGAAGAAATCCCAAGATAAACTGGAAAGAATTTTAGAATAAAATAAGATTAAAATAGAAAACATTAAATATGTAGGATGTAATTAAAGCAGTACAGAGATGGAAAATTATAGTTTTAAATGCTAATACTAGAAAGGAAGAAAAGTTGAAACCAAAATCCATTTTTATAATCACTATCTTGTAAACATGTTCAACAAAATTTTCTCCTTCTGCTTCAGTAGTACTCTCCAGGATAAATCCTATCTCTAACTGAAACCAGAGTCCTAAGTTTCCTAGCTTCTTCCTGGAGAAATCTCAGTTTTAAGCATAACACTGATAGCGGTCATACTCAAATAATCCTGGAGAAGGGAAGCCACACAGATATTAATCAAAGAGGTTATAAGAACACTCATCTGCACCCCCAACTTCCTCCATACCACCCATATACAATCTTATATATGTGTACATATACACATATATAAATATGTCTTACAAGGTAATAAAGAATAAAACCATGTTTGCCATAGTGGTTAATAATCAAAATCCTATCATGGTTGATATTTCTTGTCTTACATTAGAATATTTCTGTATCACTTGAAATTTGAAAGCTCTACCTTCTTCTACTTCTTCTGTAATTGGTACAAGGAAATAAATTTTAGCATGTGGATCTCCTTTTAGTTAGGCAATTGTTATTACTTCCTTATAAAAAGTGTGCCAGATAGTAAAAATGTAATCAAAAATTTAGTCTCAGTTTTTAGGCATATCTTATGTAGGCTCTCCTGTAGTCACAAATGCAGACTGAATTCACTAAACTCACAACAGCATAGCAAAGGAGTGCCAGTTAACCAGAAATCTCAGAGACAGTGGGTGAAAATACTCACTTATTTCAGGTGTTTCCTTGTACAAGTAAAACCAATATTTTTAGTATTTTTATATTTTAAAAAATGGATTGGTTGAGTTATCTATAAAAACAAGTATACCTCTGGAACAAAAAGAAGACGTGCATTCATGTCTAAGGAGTCATGACATGTTTTCTAA